TGGCGTGAGTTCTTTCAGCTTCTGCTATGTTACTGTAGCATTTCCCCTGAACTAATCGCATATCCGCAAATTCGTGAAAGGAAATTCAAAGTAAATCACAGTTTGACAAATTATTGTTATTGTTTACAAGGGCCTATTCACCTGTAACTATTTGTTAATGACAAAAAACATGATTGCCGCTGTGCCTTTTCATCAAAAAATTGTAGAAGGGAACTTTTTTGATATCAAAAATTTTCGTAATTTGAAGCAAAGATCGTAATTTTTCTTTTTGAATGCTTAAGTATTCCAATATGCTACCACTTAAACATGGAACAATTTCAAAATAATGCTTAATAACAAAGTTGAAATTCGATCTTCAACTGTTAATATCTTCTAGAAATTTTCGAAAAAATTTTTTTAAATATTTTTCTCGTACTCCTCCAGGAGCCCAATTCTCGAAACTGGGAACGGCGATCACATGAGAAAGAAGGGCGTGGTTCTCTCGGGAAGCGAATATTGGTATTCTTGAACGCGATCGAGTGATCCCATCACGCAACGGCAGTAGAACAAGCTTCTCTTGCCAAATCTCGCGGGAACGCATCGTTCACCGGTTTTATAACCACACACTACACAGGTTTTGGCGTAGGTACACGGTTTGAAAAGTGGTATGATTTCGGTTCGAACTCGAAATAGTGAATTTCATAAATAAAACTGTAGAGTGTTTATAAAATAAGAAGCAATTTAAGAGATTTTCTAACAGAGAGTAGAGCGGGCTTGTATGGAATTGTTCTCAACAATCTTCAAGGTAGGTTTTTGTGTTTCGAATCGTGTCTTGTAGTAGAAACTATTTTAGTATTACTGATTATATGAACTTGTAGATGCAGAGAAACAAGAAGAAAATCCTCCACGGCAATTTTGTCAACCCATGAAGGCTATGGAAATAAATTAAATCAAGTTCGTCAAGCTTTTTAGGCTGAATAAGCAGCTGGTGCTTCAATTGATAGAAAAGTTGACGCCCTATCTTCAAGCAATATAGAAATAGTAATTGA